ATAGAGATAGATAGAGATAGATAGAGAGAGATAGAGAGATAGAGATAGAGATAGAGAGAGAGAGAGAGAGAGAGAGAACCCACTTACACTTTAAATCTCCTGTTGTTTTATGTGTTTTGCTAAGTGGAGGTGGGGGAGGGGTTTCATGTGTTCACATGTGTCTATGGACCTGTGGAGGCAGAGGTCAATGTTGGGTGTCTTCTTCATTTGCTCTCCATCTTAATTTTTATTTATTACATTTATTTATTTTGTATGTATGTGTGATACATCTTGACGGCTGTGTGAAAGTCAGAGGAAAATTTTTGTGAGTCAGTTATCTCCTCCTACCTTGTGGGTTCTGAGGACTGAACTCAGGCTATCAGGCTTGGTGTTTATAGACTGAGTAGTCATCTGGTTGGCTCCTTCATCCTTCGCTCATTTAACCTGGAGCTCACTGATTCCCATTCCACTAGGCTGGTTAGCAAGTGACTCCCAAGAATCTACCTTCTCTGTCGAGTATTACTAGGATTACAGGTCCATGTTATCACACCCAGCTTTTTATGTTGGAGATCAAACTTAGATCTTTATGCTTGTGTGGAAAGCACTTTACCAATCACAAGTCACCAGGCCCCTTTAATTTTTTTTTAATTTAAGTTTGTACCAGAAGAAACAAAACTCTTAATTAATGAAGTCATAAAATGACTTATGAAACATTTAAGTCTTAGTTATAATTCCTAAAAGTCTTCCATAGATACTTTTGAAAGACTATTCAAACTATGAGCTGTGCATGGTAGTGCATGCCTATAATCCCATTCAGCTAGCTGAGGCAGGAAATCAAGGATGCTAAGTCAGGACTGCTATGTGGCAATACTTTGCCTTAGAAAAGAACAACCCTGTCCTCAAACAATAAAGCCAAGCTAGAGTGAAGCAGAGTCCAAAAAAAGGGTCAGATGACCCAGAAAAGATATCAGAAACTTAGTAGGGAGAGAAGGGTAACTATGGGGGTTAGTTAGATCCTAGTGTTTTCAAAGCCTAAGCTAGAAGAAGAAAGCACAACTGAGGAGGGGAAAAGAGAGGAGAGACATCCAGGTACAGAGATTACATAATATGAAGTGATGTCTGTGTAGTGGGATGTGTAGTGGGAGTGGGGTAAGAACCCAAGCAGAATGAATCTTTATAGATGATTCGAATGAACACTGGACTCCAATATCTAAGCAGCATGAGAAGGAAATACGTGGGAGTGAGTGTGAGAAGCCCAGCATGGATATCAAAGATAAAAAGAGCATTAAGAGGCTCTTGATCTCTCTTGCCTCTTGCTTCTCCCTGTCCCCTCACCCCTTCTCCCCTTCCCCTACTCTCTCAAAGTGCTCGTGGCCA